CCCCAAAACCCCAAAACCCCAAAACCCCAAAACCCCAAAACCCCGCAATATAATATCGCTCAATGAATTGATGATTGATGTTTATATTGATTTTTGTTTTGTTAAATTATTAATTAATTAGCGTATCCTAAATTCATCATGGAATCTTAGTTAACAAACTTATCTGACCTTAATGTAATTACCTTACGTTTTAAATCATTTTACAGTTAAAAGACAGTGCTCTAACCATTGATGACTTTGAATTGATTAAAGTTATCGGAACCGGTTCTTATGGCAAGGTCATTCTGAGCAAGAAGAGAGACACAAGCTAGGTTTACGCAATCAAGACTCTAAATAAAAAACATCTCATTAAGAAAAACCAAGTTGAACATACTATTGCTGAGAGATCAATCTTAGTAATTCTTTTTGCTTATTTATGCTTATGTAGGAAAATGTAACTCATCCATTCATCATTGAGTTAGCCTATGCTTTCCAGACAAAGAATAAATTGTACTTTGTACTAGAGTTTTGTCCTGGCGGAGAGCTATTCTTCCACTTATCAAGAATTGGAAATTTTGATGAGAAAATGTAACCTTTATTTATTTGACTTATCATTGCAGTACTAAGTTCTATTGCACACAAATTATCTTGGCTATTCATCATCTCCACAAAAACTTCATCGTCTACAGAGAGTAATATTTAAGATATAAAAAATGTCAACTAATATCTTTTTAGCCTTAAACCGGAAAACGTGCTGATCGACAAAGATGGATATGCAAAACTAACAGATTTTGGGCTATCTAAGGAAAATATTAAGACTAATTCTGATGCTAAGACATTGTGTGGTACTCCAGAGTATCTAGCCCCAGAGATCGTTGATAGGAAGGGGCACGGAAGAGCTGTTGATTGGTGGAGCGTTGGTTGCATTATCTATGAAATGTTGACCGGGCAACCCCCATTTACCTTGTAAAATGGCAATAGAGATGAGCTTTTCGAAAACATCAGAAAGTGCAATGTTTAAATCCCTAAAAATATTAGTCCTTAATGTGAGGATCTACTTTTGGTAAGTTAAATATTACTTTATTGATTTCTAGAAATTATTCGTGGCAAATCCTGATGATAGACTTGGTGGAGGTCCTAATGATGGAGTAGATGTAATGTAGCATCCTTGGTTCGCAGGTGTTGATTGGGACATGATAATGACTAAATAGATTAAACCACCCTTCAAGCCTAGACTTTAATCAAACACTGACGTGAGATATATTGATGAGACCTTCACTAAATAAAATGTTAATAACTCTCCAGAGTCATTGGTTGATTCCCTGAAAGGAGGAATGTGGGAAGGATTCACTTACACAGGCAAGACTGATTTGATGTGAGAGAATTAGTATTGATCTATACTAAAGAGATGAATTACGTAATTCAGTTGCTCTCAGTATTCCCTCAGTAAAATCATTATTTATCTAGAGGGAATTGAGTCAATATCTTTAACGATAATAAAATATTAAATTTCTATCAATCTTAAAACTCATTAAAAATTAAAAACTATAGAATTAAAAATGACAGATCGAAACAAATTTGGGAAGGTGGAATTTAATAACTAGAAGTATGATGTCCCAGACAAATATATGGATGAAATTTACGAGAGTCTTGACTTGAATCCTAATTAGATGAGGGATTTTATGACGCTTGAGTCCTAAGGACACTCAGGATTGAGAAGTAGGGACAGATTACCTTAGATTTAATAGCCTCCAAGAACATTAGTTGAAGATCTATAAAACATGAGAGAAAGCTAAAATAGTATTCTATTTGAGAACTAAGATCGTCTTAACGATTCTTCAACTTCCTTTATAAATAGAAACAACAATAAACATCTGGAGTGGTAGAACCGAGGAGATTTGGAAACAGGCTCTAGAAAACAGCCAGAATAGATTAAGTACTAGTAAAATTCAAATCCTACGGAGGAATTCCTTAAAAATATCAAAAGATCATAACATCAAACTATTCTGCATGAAACCCTAGACAAAAGTGGGGAGTTAGGAGATACTATTGTTGATACTTTGGCAGATCAGCCTGCGAATGGATATTCGTAAAGTTTAAGATATCAAGGAGTTCAGTCTAACTACACCGATATTGAGTTAACAAAAGTTGTTAACAATAGGAAACTCCCAAAAACATTCAGAGATGCTGAGATTGAGCTACCACAAATAAATAGAAAGAAATAAATTGAATCCATAGTTAATCCTATCAATAATTATACAAGTGTAGATCTAAAAGGATAATATCAAATTGGAGGTAATATGATATCTGGAATATCTATGCCAACGTAAGCAACAGAATAAACACTGAACAGATTCGTACCTGAAACAGCTTATCAAGCAACAAGGACTATAACAGAGAGCAAAGCGGAAGATAATATGCCACTTGATCCCTCAATTTTCTAATTTGAAAGAGTTAATGCATACATGGAGGACTTATTTCACAGAGATACCTACGTGATAAAAAAGAAAGCTAATTATGTAGAAAGACTTACCTGCAGCTTGATTGCAGAAGATAACACTTTTAAAGTTTATGATTGGGATGAAAAGCTAATTTAAAAGGGTATTAGACTCATGAAATTCAAATAATAATCTTAAGATTGTGTCAAATATTTCTGTTGCAGTCATTATAGATCCTATAGAACTGTGGGCAGATCAAGCAATAATAAAAAACTTGTAAGCAAAAGTCTAAGAACTTTCAAATGGATGTGTCCATGCAATAAAAATAAACCAATAACAGCTGTTTTCGATACTGAAACTGGATACTTGGGCAAAATAGAATTAGTCTCAAGCTTGGAATGTATTCTATTTTGTAAATAAGTCAAAGTGAAGATATTTGATCACAAAGACAGATATCTCTACAAGCTTAGATTTCCAACTCTAAATATGGTTTCTTTTTTCGGACTTTATCCTTGGGAAAGGCATGATAGATATGATTTTAGAGTCATCAATAAAATTACAGGTGAGAGTGGAGCAATTATAAGGAAGTAATGGTCATATTTCTGTAAAGATAAATGCTCCAATGGAGGCCACTACTTTATTAAATTTAGGTAGAACCCTATGCCATGGAATCATAAATAGTTGATATTTGAAGCATTAATGATGCTTGATATGAGTCATTATAACTTAAGATTTGTATAGGGTATGGAACTCTGTACAATTTTTATGGTTCTTATACTTACAGCTCTTATAATGGTTTTCTATGGAGTATTTTACAGTATGACTATATGAACGATTAATTAGGTTTCACATATAATTTTATTGTCTTGATGACTGATGATTTAATCAAATGGGGTTTTGGGGTTTTGGGGTTTTGGGGTTTTGGGG